GCCTCCCGCACGCTCTGCGAGCAGCCGGACTCGCACGCACAGGAAATTTCATTGAGATGTTACGCGCGGCGATGGAGAGAACGGCGAGCACCCCCAGGAGGTGAGGTGGGGCAGGGAGCTGGGAGCACCCCAACCCAGCACCCTGTGGGCGGGTGATGCTTTGTCCCCCACCCGTTTAGGCGACGGCGGGGGCATCTCCTGGGTTTTATTCCCTTACGGCATCGCGGGGGGTAGCTTAGAGCAAGCTGCAGGGCGTTTGGGGGTAACTGGGGAGGATGCTCGCCCTGCTGGGAGACATGCTGGTCCCTATCCCTTCCCTGGTGGGAGCCGATCCCTTGGGACCAATCTCCAGCCTGCTTCATTGCTTGTAATTATTGTTTTTCCCATGTTTGTGAGGATTAAGCGGGCAGAAACCCTGCTGGCAGGGTACCCCTGAGGTACAGGGAAGGGTAATGCGGAGTGGTGCCTGCTCAGGGAAGGGAACAGAGCTTCCCCTCCCACAAAAAGAGGAGCAAAACATCCCCCTCCTGCAGCCTGTCTGCCCTCAGATAGCAAAGCAGCACCGCAGGCAAACTCGCATAACTCCTGGAGTTTCTCTGATTCCAAAGGCACAGATGACATCCCCATCCACCTTGTTTCACGCGCTGCAGGCAGGTACTCCGTCCCTGGAAAGCACAGCCCAGAGGCTCGTGAAGGTTTGCAAACCGCAGAACACTTTGCTGCTAACCTGCTCTGAATTTGGGGCATGCAGTGAAATAGAAAAGTGGCTAATTACCAACAGCTTTGTGGTTTTTAAGGCGAACACATCTGTGATGCTCTTGTAAAAAATTAACCCTTGTCTGGCAGGAAGAAATTTGTCGCTGAGGGAATGTAGAGGCACAAATTCCAGAGACCCCAAGAAAGGGGCTTATCTGTCCCAAGCCCCCACCTCTAGCTGAGCCCTTAGGCAGGGTGGCACACTCTTGTCACGTCCCCGTCTCCAGGTATGTCCCCATGGTGACACAAACCAAAAAACAGCTTTCAGGAAGGACATCCAAGTGCTTGTGCGGGGTCAGATACAGATGGAAGAGGGTCAGGACAGGCTGAGCCTGACCAGCGTTGAAATTGGGGTTAGCAGGTAGATGGTGGGACCCGAGAGAGGGAAGGCTGGGGTTATGAGATGCTTGGTTTTGTTCTTCTCCTGAGCCATAGCAGTATCACCTCCACGTACTTTCCATCCTTGCTACCCTCAGTAATAACAGCCAAGGTGAGGACTCCCACCCTCAAAGGTGGCAAGGCATGATGGGGTTCAACCTCTGGCTTTCCCTCTGCTGCAGGCTGCTCTCCAGTGTTACCAGTGATGGTAAAAACCAGGTGAAAAGGAGAGGGTATCCCACAGAGCCATGCTTTGCCTGGGAACATGAGTGTGGTTTAATCTCTCTATGTTTATCTCTGTACCCAACTGTTACCTGGAAATGCATCCGTAGCCACAGCTCATTTTGTTTTCAGCCCTGCATCCCAATTGTGTCTCTTGGCAGGGTTGAGCCCACGTCGGTCATTGACCTTGACAGATCCAGCCTTCCCCAGCCAGCTCCAGGGGTTGCCGAGCCAATCCCTCCACAGTGCTTAACTCTGTCCCCATGTCCCACAGGCCACCACCACGGTGTACGTCACCGTCCTGGACGAGAACGACAATGCCCCTGCTTTCCAGCAGCAGCTGTACGAGGTGACCCTCGATGAAGGTCCTGCCACGCTCAATGCCACCCTCGTCACCGTGCAGGCCCTGGACCGGGATGAGGGCCCCAACGGCACGGTGGCATATGCCATCACCGAAGGCAACATCTTGGGTACCTTCCACATCAACAGCACCACGGTCAGTAAGGATGCCCACCCCATCCCAGCCGTGCCCCCATCCCGCTCCCCTCACTCCCGGCAACTCTGCCCTCGCCTTGCAGGGACAGATCCGCACAGTGAAGGAGCTGGACTACGAGATCAGCCACGGGCGCTACACCTTGATCGTCACCGCCACTGACCAGTGCCCCGTCATCTCGCGCCGGCTGACGTCGACCGCCACGGTAGGGAGCCGCTGGCGGGGTTGCAACACCGCAGCCTTTTTGGGGTCGAGGAGTTCCCCCCTCGTGTGTACAGTTTCACATCTCCTTCCCAGTCCTCATCAGTTGCTTTTCCCAGCAACGGCCGGTTTGAACAGTTGCTGTCACACCTCTCCCTCACGAGGGTTGCAGAATAAGGACGCGGGTTTATTAGTCCAGTTATTTGGTCCTGCAAAGACGCAAACAGAAGAAATTCCTGAAATTACTTTCAAGTTTATTGTCTTTAGAGGCCCCCTTGGTTCTTCTTGCCTGAAGGGACTGTAGATAGTAAAGCATTGCTAGAACATTAATTTCTGCTTCATCTTTATCTTCTCAGGTTATTTATCTGCTTTTTAAATTCCTTTTTCATTCCTTGTATGGAGGCTCTTTAAAACCTCCAGTAGTTTTTGTTGCTTCTCTTTACAGCTCTTTCATTTCTCCTGAATCACAGTGACCAAAACTTAATGCACAGCTCAAAGTGTGGGGAGGGCAGACTAGCAGCTCCAAAGCAAATGTTTTGCAGGAATTGAATACACCGATTGTTTCTGTGACCGAAACCTAAATTTGATGGCTTGTGTGGCAGACGTTGTCCATGCCCAGGATGATTTGGGGGTCTGCAGGTGGACGGGATCGGATAGATCTTTTGCCTTGACTCCCTATCGTGGACCATTATGCCTCACCCTGATACTAAGCCAAACATTTTGTGGTCCCCCAAAAGGAGATAAGTTCATGTGTGCAAAGAAAAGAGGGGAAACTGAAGGGGAGACACCAGGGTGGGAGATTGCCATGGATAGAATGGAAGTGGCAAGCCTGTCTGTGCTGTACTCCGTGCTTAGATAAATTGGGAAATGATTCTGCTGGAGATGCCTTCCTGGTCCAGGAAAACTGCAGTGTAAACCTTGAGACCTGGGGTTTGGTTGCCGGCAGGGAAGGCAGCAGCTGCCGGCGTGCTGCAGGCAGAGGCAGAGCTTTCCTTGCTCTCAGCCCAAGCAGAGACATGAACTTGGAAACCCCTTCAGCAGCAAGTACTGAGAGTAGAAGGGAGAGGAAACACCCTCCCGACACGGCCCAGGGAGTTTGTGCCAGACTGTATGAAAACATCGCTTTTAGGAGGAGGTTTAGTGATTATTTAAGATCCCAAGTGATGGGAAATCCATCTCCCTGATAAGGAGTGCCAGTGTTTGTTTTCTCCACTGCTAGGAAACAGAGCAGACACTCAGACATACTCTTCTGTAAAGATTAGATTTAGCCAGTAACAAAGGCCCACCTGATGGATTTTACTGACCTTCCACCCAGGATCTTTCTTGTAGCCATCCGTACCACCAAAGCTCAACCTTTTACGAGCCACTGGAGACTCTCCTCCTCAGGCAGGATTTCTCCTCTGTGCAAGTTCCCCAAAGCCTAACAAGGGGATAACCCTCTTGGCAATACAGTGTAGTATAGAGCTATATAAATGTCTTCTACGTGGTGTGACCCAGTTAAAAGGCAAGACTCAAGTTTGTTGGAACCCCAGCTTTGCCAGCAACACCCTGGTCTACTCTGTCCTAAAACTGTCAATTCTTTCCCCTTCTGAGATGTGTAGGCTCGATTTCTAGCCAGCTAAGTGTGTCATAGGAAGGGATGCTACGAGGGGGAACGCGCCAACGGTGTTGTTGGTGTTTTGCGTTGGAATAAGAATTGTAGAATGAATCATAGAATAAGGACGTGAGCTGCAAATTTTTTAGAGTTGACTCAGGATTAGGAGTGAAGCCCTTGGTGGAGGAAAAGGATTGCACAAGTGTGCAGCAAGGCTGCAGAGATCGGTCTCTCTGAACTCCAGGCTTTGTTGGTCAAATCCCTGTCTGTGGTTTTTGTCTATCCATCTTAGGGTTTCAGGATGTGAATGTGGACATTTGGCTTTTGCATTGACTTTTCCATCACGGTGTGTGGCTGGAGGGTCACAGTGTCGCTGTAGGATGGGCATGACCAAGAATAACTTGAGTTTGAGTCTCTGTACTGTGAGCTGGATGTTTGGCAAAAGCCATAAATACAGGAGGTATTTTATGAGGTCCATGGCTTCCCATGCTCGTGGCCAGCGGGCTGGCCTCCCCTTCCATCCTTCCACCCTCTCGCCCTGACTGCAGGTTCTGGTGAACCTCAACGACATCAACGACAACCGGCCCACCTTCCCTCGGCCCTATGAGGGTCCCTTTGATGTCACGGAAGGGCAGCCCGGCCCGCGCGTCTGGACCTTCCTGGCCCATGATGGCGACTCGGGACCCAGCGGGCAAGTGGAGTACAGCATCATCGCCGGGGACCCCCTCGGTGAGCGGGGACATGGGGGGCATCACCTCTCCTGCTGGCTGCCCCAGGGAGGAACCCGGCTTGCAGGAGCCGGCGCAGGCGGAAGCGTTTCAGAAAAGCCATCCTCCCAGGTTGTCGCTTTTGCGAATTCAGCCTTTCGACACCAGGAAATCCTGTTTTGAGCAACAGGAAACTTAACCTCTTCATGGCCAGCCAAGGGAGTGGCTGAGGCTTGTGCAAGGGAGGGGGGAAATCTGGTAAACAATAAAGGCAAAAAAAACATAAAAGGCAAAACCAATCCAGACCGCAGAGTGAGAAACAGAGATCTGCAAGCCCACAGCCCTGGCCCCTCACCCCCGTGGGGTTTGTAGGGCATTTAGGGACTGAGTTGCTCTGCACCTCGTGGTGAAGCTGTGGCTCCAGCCTCAGCAGCACCTCGGAGCAGAGGGCAGAGTCACGGCCGTCTCCCCGCCATGGGGTCATACGGCTGTCCCTCAGTGAACCGGTGGTTCTCGAGGGCAGAGCCCAGTCTTGTCTCCAAACTGGTCAGCTCAGGGAGGGTCCATGCTGTGTAGCCTGCTCTTCTCTGGCCATTATGGGGCAGGTGCTTGACGAGCTGTTGGCACTTCAGAAAGGCCCAACCAAGGAATGTGAGCGCCTCTTATTTGGCCATGCACCCCACATCCCCTGCTCTGGCTGGTACCTGGGGGTGCATCGGTCCCCGGGTCCCCCGCGTCCCCCAGCTGCCCATAATCCTCCCATATCTGCAGTAATAGGGTACCAGGGCTGTTATCCCCCAGCCCACCATGGTGCCTACCCCCTCTCCAAAACAAGCCATTCCCCTTGGGAGATGGGCCGTTTGCAGGTGCAAGCCAAGGCCTCGCTGTCTTTGGCAGGGGAGTTTGTGATCTCCCCAGTGGAAGGGGAGCTGCGGGTGCGGAAGGATGCTGAGCTGGACCGCGAGAACATCGCCTTCTACAACCTCACCATCGCTGCCCGGGACCGGGGAGTGCCCCCCCTCAGCTCCACAGTGAGTACTCCAGGGTGGTGTGCAGGACTGAGGGGTGCTGTCCCCCATCCCCAGCTCCTTCCTTGGGGTTTTCTCTGCCTTCGCTCTTCCCTCCTCCTCCTTCCCTGGGGCTTTCCTCCCACAGATCATAGTGGGCTGAGTGGGGAAGCCCACCTCTTTCCCGGTGGTGGAAAAAAAAAAGATGGGAGCGATGGAAATAGGTGCCACATGCCCACACCTCTTCTCTCCCTGGCAGATCCTGGTGGGCGTCCGTGTGCTGGACATCAATGATAACGACCCCGTGCTCCTCAACCTCCCAATGAATATCACCCTCAGCGAGAACGCCCCCGTCTCCAGCTTCGTCACCCGTGTCCTCGCCCGGGATGCTGACAAGGGGCCGAACGCCCTCCTGACCTTCGACATAACAGCAGGCAACACAGAGAATGCCTTCTACATCAACAGCACCGTACGCCCCCGGGGGGGTGGGATGCCGGGATGCGGAGGGTGGGCACCCCTGGCCCCCGAGTCCTGACTTCCCTGGGCACCCTTGCTCCCCACTGCCCCAGGGGAAGTAGACCTCACGTCCCTTGGGTCCATTCCTTCCCTTTTTTCTCGGTAGAGTGGCATCGTCTACGTCAACCGCCCGCTGGACAGGGAGCGGGTGGCAGAATACAGGCTGACCGTCACGGTGAAGGACAACCCCGAGAACATACGCAATGCCAGGCGGGTAATTACGGACACTGCCAGGGCCTCCAGTGGCTCAGGTGGCAGGGTGGGTGGGAGAAGAACTCCTGCCATAGCCAAAAGCAGGCAGTTCGTTTGCCCACAGCATTTCCAATAGCAGCCTCAACCCCCAAAAGCATCTGGGGGTCTCAAGGAAGGGGCTGCAACCCTATCCCTAGCAGAGAACAGGACCAGTAGGATTTAGGGCAAGCCCAACATCTCCTGTTGACTCCATCAAACAGCAGATCTCACAAAACGTGGGACAAAGTTGGTCTGGAGAGCTGGACAACCACAATGGTACCAGACCATCCTTTGGCCCAGCCAGGATTTCCCACACATCACCCCTTGGGATGTGAGCTGGGAATGGATAGCCAGCTCCGGGGTGAAGGTGTCTGCAGACCCACCACGGTGGTCTAGGGAGCACAGCATCGTGGTTGCACAAGGCTCCAGCTTTGACCATCAGCAAGCTGGAGGTGGGAGAGGCGGGAGTTGAACTCAAGGAAAGGATGTTGCGGTCATCTCCCTCTTGATCCCGTTTTCTTTTAGGATTTTGACTTGCTGGTCATTTCCATAGCAGATGAGAACGACAACCGCCCCCTCTTCACCCAGAGCTCCTACCAGGCCGAGGTGATGGAGAACTCACCCCCGGGTAGGTCTCTCTTTGCTCCCCTACATGGCTTTTGGAGACCCCCTTTGGGGCTGGGCGAGGGGAGGTGTCTCCTGGCTGTCGTGGAGGAGACATGACGCTGAGCGGAGAAGGGCTGCAGGTCAGTGGGACGGGGATGCTGAGTATGAGGGGGCTCCTGCTGATTGCCTGGAGAGGTCAGCCTCGAGGAGACGATGGCTTTGAACCAAGCTGCTGGTGGAAACCCTTCCTGGTACAGGTTAGGCACAACGCTGCCAGAAATGAGCTCCGTTTAGGAACTGCTCAGCTGCAGAGAGCAAGATGTGTCCGTGGTCTCAGACGAGCCCTTGCCTCAAGGACCCAGTCTGCCCAACATCCCCACAGGGGAGAATACGTTGCCATGCCTGGCATCTCTCTATCACCAGCTGCCTTGCTCCGGGGGTTAGAGATAAAACATTCCAGCCTGTCCAGGTAGACACTTCCTAGCCCAAGAGCTAAGAAATATTCCTCTTCTTAATACTTTTTCTTTGCCTTCCTGCTATTTAAATTGCTCCCTGCTCCAAGACCTCAGGTACCTCCCTGTCCCACCATCGAGGGACATCTCAGGCGAAGGGTTTGGGTGCCTCCAAGTGATGCCCTCGGTGGCAGGGTGCTGCTGTCACCCATCTGATGGATGTGTCTGTCTGTTTGTTTTTAGCCGGATGTCCTATCGCCTCGCCTGGGCCTCGCGAGTCGGTCTGCAAGGCTGCAGCAGCCACCCCCCCCGCTGCCTCGTGCCCTGCGAGGTCCCGTCCTGTCACCTCCTCCATCCATTCATTGCCGTCCCTCATGCGTCACTGGGGTGGGAGGGGGACAGGGGTGCTCCGCAGGGAGCTGCCACTCTCCCTAACCCTTGTCATCCCATCCAGGGACACCGGTCACAGTGCTCAATGGACCCATCCTAGCCCTGGACAGCGACCAGGGCAGCAACGCCGTGGTGACCTACCAGTTCCTGGAGGCACCCCCAAACCTCTTTGTTATTGACAACAGGACAGGTGGGGTGGCTCAGCAGGTCCCCGTCCCCAGCCCAGGGCCATCAGTCAACCATGGGGTCTGTCACCGGGCTTTTCCCCTTCTCCAGGTGTCGTTTCAGTGAAGCCTGGCAGCTTGATAGACCGAGAGGCTTTGGCGGACCCTCGCCTGGAGTTCACGCTGGTGGCTCGTGATGCAGGGGGGCTGAACAGCACTGCCAGCCTGGTGGTGACCGTCCTGGATGACAACGACAACCGCCCTGTCTTCCAGCCAGCGTCCATCACGGCGCGGCTGCGGGAAAACAGCCCCCCAGGTCAGGAGGGGTCCTGGACTGGATCTGAGGGTGGGCAGCAGGGAGACCTGTATATCCCCCCAAGGACTGTGAAGATCCAGTTCCTGGTGTCAGGACCGGCCAGGATGGGGTTGAAGGGAAAATTTGGGAACTGGGTCTGCCCACGTTGCTTGACAGAATTTGCCTGGGTGGACGAGGTGCTTGTTTCTGCTGCCCTCCAACCCTCACTTGAGAGGGCTGTGTCCCCCTTTTCCAGGCTTCTCCGTCCTCCAGGTGACAGCCACAGATGCTGACAGCGGCCTCAACCAGCAGCTGGATTACCGGATTGAGGGCGGTGGTCAGGACAGGTTCCTGATCGACGCCACCACGGGGGTGATCCGCGTGGCCAACATCAGCATCGACCGGGAGGAGCGGGACGCTTACCGGCTGATGGGGGGGGCCGTGGGCCAGGGGGCGCC